GTTAATTATGGTTCTCTATTGAACCTCACCCTATATATATATATATATATATATATATATATATATATACACACACACTAGCCATTTACCCGCGCCAAGAGACGGGTGTGAATAGTTTTTTTTTAGAAATTAGTTTCTAGAGGAGATTCAGCGAATAGTATTATTTCATGGATATTTTTTTTCAATTAATTTTCTTTCGAAAGCTTGAGACCTTTCTTTTGATGCAGTGCAAGCGATCTATACAGTTTGAACAGTGTGATGAATACCCCTGGTTTAAACCCTATTGTTAAAGCTTTTATTAATTTCGTTTGAGGATAAAATGATCATATTTACAAAAATAGAATAATAATAAATAAAAAAATAAAAACATCTTAATAGATAGATTTATCAATCAAAGGACCAACCGTTTATAAAAGTAAAACCTCAAGGATTGTCTATGGCGTGATGTTGAAAGATGTATAAAACTAAAAATTTGTCGGAAGCATAGAGACCATTTTTGAAACTTACTCATGTATAATTCTAGATAATAAATAAAAATTCAATTAAAAAGAAAAGGGAAAAAGCAATTTATAACTTGTTCCCTCTTGAATTTTTTTTTTTTTTGTCAAAGCTTGAGGCATATGTAATTCACGTTTTGTTAACTTGCAAATAAAAAGGCAAAGATCAAAATTCTCAAATGAGTATTCTATTGGAAGCATCTAATAAAGTAACTCCTCATGGTGGTTCACAAACCAAATGTAAGCAATGAAAAGCATCTAGTGTGTTATCGTCTAAAAGTACCGGCTAATAGATGGAACTTATATACCTTTCCAATAATGTATAGTAAAAAATGTGAAATATGCAAGAAAAAATAAACTAAAAGTTTCAACTTTGGACACTCGGTTCTGGAACCAAGAAGTATGTCAAAAGAAATACTGTATTAAATAAATATATAAGTAGAGATCACATCATGTTTGCATTTTCAAGATTGTAGTTACCTCAAAAAGCTCCAAAACTAAGAAATTCCAATAGTCCAAGCAAACCTGTTGAACACATTAACAGAACTAAAGATCAAAGAATATGCAAGACTACTAAATTTGGAAACAAAAAATATCTTGTAAAGCTCTGCATTACCAATAGATGGAATGTTTATGAGATACTACGGGCTAGCTGCCGAGTTCATTACACAAATTCCCTTCGCGCCTATCTACATCTGAACAAAAAAGAACTTCAAAATAAAGATGTCTCTCAATAGAATCTAGGTTGGATCTTTACCTTACCATCCAACCAAATCAAGCAAAATATGCATATGATGTTAATCTATCTTCAAAATATAGTTAGAACACTGAGATGAACAATAAAAATATATTAAAGGCCTTGGCATAGCCTACACCGATACACAATCCATAGTCACTTACTTGTTTTTCAAATATTAATCTTTCTTACTTTCAAAATAAAAACCCACTCAGATTTAACAAAAAATTATGATTCGAGAAGCTACAAATCCATAATCACTCTGGTGTATCCCTTGATTCTCCATTATGAATGTTAGAAATCAGATGAAGTTAAACTAATTTAAAAGAATCAAACCTTTGTAGACCCAATCTTCGTGTTTCTCTATTTCCTTTAACTTTTCTCAAATCTGAAAGAGGTCTCCAGTAGCATGTTCGATGTCCGCCGTTTATGATTGTGTGGGTCTGAATACATATGGGTCGAGTGAACAGAAAAAGGGTAAGGGTTTAAAGGGAAGATACTTTGGAACATTGATTATGTTTGTCTAAAAACAGAGGCCAGGATTTTGGCGGCGGTCCTTTTGATCGAAATAACATCCAGCCCATCAAAACTACAAAAAAATGAAATCTTTACCTACAAACATGGGAAAACATAAAAATCATAAAAAGTTAGATCATTTGCATATTTCCAACATGTGTCTTCATTTGCATATGAAAAACTTAAAAAAATAATAATAATTAGAACTGTGAATCAAACACCCACAATTTTCCTCAGATATGCAAATATAAAAAGAGGATTGTCATAGATTTTCAAGGTGAAATTGACCATAAGAATATCGAACAAAGGGGTGAACCAAGCCCTAGCTTCCAAACAATCAAAATCAATCGGATCTCCACCCATATTTTAGAAAAATACATACACAGAAAATTAGACAAATACACATACAAATACAGACACATATGAACACGAATAAAAACACACACACACAATATTTCACAAATAAATGAAGAAATATGCCCATAGTGTTGGAATCGAAAGGGAGGAAAGAAAGATTACCTATTTGACTTCAAATCGCCGGAAAACTTCAGTCATCAGTATTCAAATATGCCATTTCAAGAAACCCACCATCAACCTATGTTTGAATAGAGAGAGAAAGCCAGAGAGAGAGGGGGGTTAGGTTTCAAGTGGGTCTAATAGCGATGGTGCGATGGTCCTGACTGATTCAAGGTGTGTGCTCCTGGTATGGTGTGAGACTGTGTAGCTGGTGTGCTTGGCGGTGACAAAAACACTAAATCTCGACCACTCATCTCA